CTGAATTTTTTAATCTTCAGCCGCTGGATTGGATCCCAAAAATTTATTTCATTTCTCTGGATTCGCGATGAAAGAAAGTTTCCCATGCTTTTTCTGCCTAACTCTTCTGCGTTGGGAAGAATGCTTCCATCTGCGCCTGGAAGAACAACACCAGTGGCAAGATTACTTAAGGTTAAGGGTATTTCCTCCTCTGAGATTTCTTCTGGAATCTGAAAAGGGTCACTGAGGAGACCACTCTTGAAGGTTTCAAACAACTTCTGTACGTCTCTCTCATCTCTGCTCACTCTTGTGGCTTCAGCCTCCTTGTGTGTCCCAATGCGGTCGCAGTTTTCTAGACCACACATCTCCTTTAGTGCATGTGTCATGGCTGCTCGCTCGTGAATGGTTAAGAACCATCGATCTACAGCATCTTCGTTCGTTCTCATTCCAACTATGCCCCCCTTTGTCTTGGTATCAAGGTTAATTGATTGTTCCAGGGCCATATCCGGCCAAACTTGCGCAAACGGTTGGTTAGAGCGGCTTACACTGTGGTTTCCAGCAATGAACTCTTGGTGAACTGCGGGGTGAGTTAACTGCAACATGTGCATGTCAGAGAGATAGACTGGAAGCCATCTGGAATAGTTTACCCTGTCCATAGAGAAAAAATGGGGAACCATTTCTGTTGTGGCGGAGAGGTGGAGTTTCCAGTTTCCGGTTCGTTCAGCTTTAACGAACTGCAGAAGCAGCAGCACCATATTAATGTATCCTTCCCAGAAACTAAAAACTTTGGACTTTTCTCTGCCTTCAGATTTGAACCGTTCAAACAGTGTCATGAGAGGATTAACACAACCTTGAAATGCTTTCAAGGCATCGTTAACGAAGCAACCCTGTCTCACTGTATTCCGACACTCCCTGCTTTGGTCAGCAACACTTTGTCTGACTCGATCATCCATACCAACTGCTTGTCTTGACAGCCAGTCTAGGAAGGCTTTCCACAACAACCGGAAGAGCGCCTCCATGGTTAACTTGTGGGCACGAATACCTCTGTTATATGACTTGCCAAGCATCAAAACTGAGGTAGTACCAGCTGCATAAACCCCTGACTCAATCAGTAAGTCTTCCAAGCCTGACTGTGCATACTTCTTTCCAAGCAGAGAGAGAAAGTTAGGGGCAATGTGGAACCCCCCCATTCTGATCACAGTGTTTTTAAATACCTCTGGGTATTTCATTTGTAGCTGCTTAGCTTTTGCGTAAAGGGCAAGATTAAAGGTAATTACAGAATCGTGCTGTCCCATTGTGTGGCATATCTTTTGGGCCAGTTTCATCAGGGTGTAAAGAGTGCTAAAGTTGCTAGACTCTGCATGGATCATTGGGTGATAGCCGATATTGGTCTTCACAGGAATGGTGGGGTGTGTGATGGCATTGAACCCACTCCAACCAGGTATAGTCTGTTCCTCTGGAGACTGTTGATTAGATGCCATGAGAGGATCAGAAAGACGAAGTAACATCCAGCAAAGGTCATCCATGCGGACAGATAGAAACTGTTGGTCGCACTGAAACCAGGCAATAACATCGTTCCCAACAAAATTAGTTAATGTAGGATGTCTGCCTCCGAAACTGACTTCCTCCATGGCAACTAAATTTTGAGCAGAATCCAGTGATCGCTTCTTCTTGGAGTGGTCAGCAAGCACAATCCGTTCTGGCAGAGGACCGTACTGCTTTGGCTGATATATTGCTGATATATTGCATGCGTTGTGTTCTTGCCGTCAATGGTTTCTTCATTAATATCGTTGTTATCAGCCAACTGAATGAATGCACCAGGTCTTATGTTAGTAGGGATCACAACACCACTGGCATGTGCTCTCGCTAAGCTTTCATTTGCCAAGCTGGTCTCCACTTGTTCGATCTCTTCATAGGAAGAACAGTAACCCATTCTGTTTAAAAGTGTTATCAGTTGTTTGAAACCATAGCGAGACCTACGTGCTTGGGCAACTTTACTCTGGCATGTGATGCACAATGAATAAGATCCTGCCCAGCCATTACAATCTTCCGCTCATCGGTTGTACTCCTTGCACTAGAAGGTGAGTCGTCGCTGTACTGTTCTCCAGTAACAATCCACCTGATAAGCCAATAAAGGCTCTTGGGAAGAAGAGATTTTGCTGTATCCAAGTGTAAATCTCGGATGTCAAGTGGGTTGATGTTAATGCCCTCACATCTCAGCATCTCCCGCCTGATAATGGAAGCTATAGTGTAGATATCTAGGAAACTGAAAGTTTCTGACTCTGGCTTATCCATGCTGATAGAGTTTGTTTCGTCACGTAATGGACAAGTGCTTGCTGCATTTATGATATCAATTAAGGAGATGGAGCTGCTGTAAACAATTTCCGGTCTGGATTGTTGAGGTGACTGATGGAAAACAAGACGTTCCTTAAAATGAGCCATCAATCGTGCTTTTAGCTTCTGCTTTGTGTAGCTACCGGCATCAATTCCTATCTTTTCCAGCTCCTTCTTGAACATTGCCAGCAAAACATTCATGTCGTAGGCTTTTCCTTCCTCAATTTCGGGGGTTATGACCTTCAGTAACTGATTGAAGGCTTGATCAAAAGTGCTTTCCTCTCTTGTGGATGTAGCGACGTTCTGTTTCCTCTTGATATTAACCTTGCTGATATAGCAGGCATGACACGCTTTGTGGTATTTTCCTTCCGCTGCAATAAGATCATAGCTAACCGACCGAAGTATGGATAACAGTTCATGGTCTCCTCTTGCCTCTGCAGATTCCTTTATACTGTTGCATGCTTCAAAGGTGGCGATGTTTATTAGCTGTCGGTCCTTTTTTCTTGTTGCATTTTGGCAGAAAAGACACTTTGACCAATCAAACACCATGCGTCGCTCTTTAGATTCTGCTTGAACATCACTTGAGGATTGTACTCCATAATACCGTAAATTCTGTTTGCTGGTATATGTTTCGTAACACGATGAATGCCACAAAATATCTTTCCCGGCTACATTACGGAGATCGTCAGCTGACAAACGATGCGAGATTTCATCTTGCCGAACTTCAAGAGCAGATATGACTTTCTGTATTGAAGAGAGTTTTCCAGAGCGAAGGACGTCACTGCTACTCTGGCAAAAAATGCACTTATCGAAAGAAGTTTTCTTTGCTCTCTTTGCTGGCATGGGAAAAAGCTGCCAACCATCCTTTTCCTCCATGTCGTCTACAGCATTTGTGAGACTTATTACCTGTGCAGATAATTTATTTCCAGACGTTTTCACTTTTAAATCGGCTTTTACAAAAAATACATCAGAATTACGTATCTGACGGAGTTTTAAAATAAAAAAGAGCTCTGTCTAAAACTCCTGCTGATAACCTCAACACATTGCTAAAACATGTTTTTTAAAGGAAGGAATATGATCGAGCAGGAAAGGAAATACAAATGATGATATTACTAGCAGGTGCAATAGCGATGTTCTAGAGTCTCAGCGCATGAATTTTGAGAAAAACGAGAGCAAACAAGTCGCCGTAATACAGTTAAGATATCAAACCTTATCTATCTTGAACTCTTTGATGGCCGTTTACATCCACAATCGCATACAAAACTCCGTTTACAAATCTGATTCTGAGGACCCAAAATGGCGGTCTGAAAATAAGGCCTGGATACTAATTTGCCATGGCTTGAACCATTCCTTATCTTTCAGAGAAGACAAGGCATTCATTGTTCCTAAAGCAACCATAACCACTAAAGCTCACTACTTTAAACCACACCAGATAGAGATCAAGGATATTTATGGCGATATATAGCCTTTATAGAACGTTTTGTTGAAAAAAATATTGAATATTTTAAACTTTGAAATAAGACTGCAGTCTACTGGTATTCATAAAATCTGAATTTATATAAGAAAAATATTCATTAAAGTTATATTCTTGTGATATTACTTTTTTACATCTTTTTCACACCACTTTTTCAAAGATTTGACCCGTTTTGAGGGTGCTTTTATTCAGCCTCGTTTCCATGTAAACAGTGACGGAAGAGAGACCAGCACTAACATTGTCGATTTTCTGGAGTTCTACGCTTTCAAATGTTTTTTTTTAATGTAATTCGAAAGTACACGACTTCTTTGCATCCTCATATGATGAAAAGCCTGAATACGTCCTTTACCCTAGTCTCAGCAGGATTTGAAATATGTCAGGATCGACAAAAGAGGCTGCTTTTTGACGAAAAAAATAGTCATGTGATAATCACGTGACATGCTGTCGTACCATGTGAACACTCATATTGAAGGCAGGTGCATGCTCATCACTTTTCCAGAAAGGTTTGGGGCACTTTAGCGGAAGAAGATGAAATTTGAGGTCAATTTCTGTTTGAGCCTCGTCTCTATGCTAAGTGCCATGTCATGGTATAAAGCCCCATTTATCTCGTCAGGGGTACCACAATTCGGGACTACATAGTATCTTATCTTAAAGAGCAGGTATTGGTCTATCAGAATCAGCTGTCAAACCTTTTCTGTCGGGTGGGTTGAACGAAACCATTTTTTGTTGGGTCTGGCTCCTTGACTAATACAGCTACATCCTTTGGAAAGTAGTGTAAAGAAATACTTGGTGTATGTGTATTACTCATGAAGCTAACATCATCTGGCGCTCCGGCCACGCAATATGTTAATCTTTTCTTCTAGATTTCTCTTTTCTCCACCGTAGTTGCCGACTTGTCATCGCAGTTTTCTACGTCACGGCTATGTAACATGATCGTTTTGACCGCGCGCTTAAGGAGGACACTTTTTGGCCGTCAAATCGTACTTTCAATGCACGAAAAAAATGGTCTAGGAGAACACGCTAGGCGCTAAGGTCGATTATTTCTAATTTTAAAAACAGCTGTCAATGCAAAAAATGCAAAAACAAATTTTGCATCATAGACACTTTAAGACTCCTGGCCAATCAAGGCCAGAGTTTTTCCAAGTAAATGATGTCACGAATTCAATCGGTCCGCTTCCCTAGTTACACGCATTTTGTTGTGACCATCTTTGCGAGTACATAAATTCTGTGTTTAGGAGGAAAATATTATATACACCATGGCTGAAAATCATCTTCCTCAAGGAGATGACGTTGCTCAGCAGGAAAATAATGGCTTTGGACCACTTTTCAAGCGTCGTGGGAAAACTGCTATTGTCGCTTCAGTTATCGCGGTTGTGATTGTTGGCGCCATGCTATTCTTCACGGTGAAAGGGAAAGAGAAAGAGTTTCCTTCCCCGGTGTTTACAGTAGCCCTGCAGACCTTGAGTGTCGTTCTCGGAGAAATCATACGAAGATTGTTCTTACTGTCAGAGGAGTTCAGACACAGACACTCGCGATACCGAGGAAAGTGGAAGAGAGTTTTTCAGGCAGTTTTCCCTTTCAATTATTGCAAGCGTGTTTTAGTCGCTGCTATCGTTTCCACTTTCATAGTATGCTGCCATCAGTTGTATGAACGATACGAAATATTGTCTCGTCCAGATTTCGTCATTTTGTTTTTCCTGAACTCTTTGCTGGTTGGTCAGTTGTTGTTCCTTCTGGGCCTTCGACAGCTCTCTCCCGTAGAAACATCGGATTTGATTGAAAAGGAAAACAAGAATGTAGCCGATGGGCTGGCTTGGGGCTACTATTTTGGTTATCTTAGGCTGGTGCTACCGAAACTGAAAGATCAGATTGGTAAATCAGAGCTTTTTCGTAATGAAATAACAAAGAAAAAGCTTTTCATTTTACTACCCAAAACGTGCTTCACCTGTGCTGACATCGTTGAAGCAGATTCCAGGGTAGAATCGGTCGGTCATCTCCCAGAGCTTAAAATTAATAGGGGTGGAGTTAAGGAAAGAATTTACAAGCATTCGGTATATAAGATAGAAATGCCCCGCCCTGATGGAGCAGTAGAAAGGTACCACGTTATCTTGGAGTATGGCACACCTCTGATGAACCTTTATGATATGTCTGAGCATGCAGACGCCTCCTTTAATCGTGAGGAGCGGGATCATCAGGTAGGCTAGTTTCTAGTATTTTCTCTTTGATTTTCAAAGTGGAAGAGAATCCTGATCTAATTACCACAAGCAATATTGTGGCTGATCCCTGGGTAATTGGGTCAATTTCTGCTGTGTATATGCCACTGGCCTCTTAGAACCCACCCTCCCCCAACCCATTATAATCTATTCTGTGGTCATTTGTAGATCCCATCTAAGGTGCTTTTAAGTGAATGTTACTTTCACTATCCCAACTTAGTCACTTTCTGTTTTATGTATCTGCCTTAGAAAGCCTTCTTAGTAACTCATCCTAACATGAATCGACTCATTTGACCATGAATCTTCCCAATTGGCCATACATTGTCTCATCCTAAAATCTGGAAGAGTGCAACCCCATTATTGGAACTGTATTGAAATTGCAAACCCATTATTAAATAGTAAATCCAGTTGTGAAAATGCAAGCCATCCAGCAGCACATCCTCATTAGCCTATTACTAGGAAGTACCCTTCCCTTGGGACTGGTCCTCATAAATATGGTTTGTTTGAGGTGAGATGCAGTCTAACTGGAACTTCTCTTCATTGTAACTTATAGGTGGTGTTATTCATCCGAAAATTGACAGAAATTCTGGATAAATCCGAAGAGTGCAGAGGGACTTGTGAGTTGGTGCCAATTTCAGGACGTCGTTCACATGAGATCTCAGATGTCCTGATTAGGATGCATAATGATCCCAGCATAGA